GACCTGGACCCCAAAAAAGGAAAAACCCTGGACTCTCCCACCTGGCCAAATCTCTGATCTTCACCTGAGGCTATAATCCTATCAACTAGCCTTTTATTGTTGCTATGCTCAATCTCCCAATTTTGTTCTGTTCTGTTACCTCCCAATTGCCCCTGGCCACTTCCCACCCTTAATCCTATCTAGATTCCATTCTCCCATGGCTACAAGGTCCAGGACCTTAGTGTTCTGTTCACCCCAGCTTACTGGCCACTCCCATCCAGTTCTTCCTTAGACCCCTCCTCCAGTCACCCCAAACTACTTGGCCACTCCTAGATCCGTCCCATAGTCTTTCCGTATATAAGGTCTTGTCTCTATTAAGACACTCTGATTCTTAAAATATAGCCAATATATCAGTAATGTTCAGATTCCTTAAAAGTCTGGGCAATATGGCGGATATTCTAATAAACCTTGTCTTTGGCTGGGAAAAAAAAAAGAAATGATGAGCATTTCAAAAAAAACCTGGAAAGACTTACATGAACTGATGCTGAATGAAGTTAACAGAAAAAGGAGAATATGATACACAGTAAGAGCAACATTGTGCATTAATCAACTACGACAAATTCAGCTCTTCTCAGCAATACAATGATCCAAGACAATTCCAAAAGACTCATGATGGAAGTTGCTACCCACATCCAGAGAAAGAACTATGGAGTCTGAATGCAGATCAAAGCATACCACTTTAATTTTTTTGTTTTTTCTTTCTCATGGTTTTTCCCTTTTGTTCTGATTCTTTTTTCACAACATGACTAATGTGGAAATATGTTTAACATGATTGTAAATGTATAACCTATATCAGATTGCTTGCTGTCTTAGGGAAGGGAGAGAGGAGGGAGGGAAAAAAATTTGGAACTCAAAATCTTATAAAAATGAATGTCAAAAACGATTTTTACATGTAATTGTGAAAAAATACTATTGGGGGGGAAGAATGCAAAAAAAAAACCAGATTCCTATTCAAACCTTTCTTTTTTGCTCCTGATAAGGAATTGCTATAGTAATTTGTCTTTGGCAACAATCTCCCACTGAGCCAGCATATGACTGTTTTGGAAGCCAACCACTCCTGGTACCTGGAACCTGGGATATGAGACCACACACTCCCTAATAAGAGCATTTGGACTTGTTGGAAGTAACCAGTAGGGTAAAGAGTATTTGACCTGACTTTCCCTTACACAAGGGAACACACAGAAGGAGAAGTCAGCTCAACTCCCCTTTCGCCAATTCCCTTCTTACTACTCCAGTCAGGTCCTCATATTCCATTAGACTGAAATGTTAGAGCTTTTCCGTGTCTCATAAACTTCTCAGTTTTACTGGTCCTAAGTCAACCGAGCTGGCTTTGATCTTGTTTGACGATTCTGCCTAGGTCTAGCCCTGAACCCAGGAAAAGTGGAAAGAAAAGATTCCAACTCCCAGGACCCAGAACTGAGGTCAGAACAGTAAATACATTATTTCGGCTACAATTCACATTAAATTGCTGGCAAGGAATCTGACCCCCCCTACCGCCACCTACCCACACACACCTATAACATTGTCTCTAAATTCTGTTACTTTAAACCATTCACTCTCTGTTGTTTTTTCTTTTGTGGGGTGGGGAAGGTTGAATTGATTATTTTACTCTAGCTGTAGAAGATGGAGGATGATTAAGAAAGTGAGGAAGGCTGAAGGGAGGAGAGGCAGAAAGATACAGAGAGCAAGAGAAGGAGAGTGTCACAGAGACTCAGACAATGGAATACCCTGTAGACTAAGAAAAGGAACGGACAGGGCAAGGGGAAATAGTTTTGCATGGCTAACAAAGCTTTTTCCTTACCAGAATCCCATTACATAGATAAAGTATTATTGTCCCCATTTTACAGGTAAAGAAACTGAGGCACAGAAAAATGAAGTGAGTTGCCCTGGGCATAGAGAGAATAACTGTCAGAGTCAGGATTTAAACCCAGATCTTCTGACTTAAGGGCAGCTAGGTGACCCAGTGGATAGAATGCCAGCCCTGGCAACAGGAGGACCTGAGTTCAAATCCAGCCTTAGATCCCTACTAGCTGTGTGACCCTGGGCAAGTCACTTAACCCTGTTTACCTCTGTTCTTCATCTATAAAATGAGCTGGAAAAGGAAATGGCAAACCACTCCAGTATCTTTCCCAAGAAAACCCCAAATGGGATCATGAAGAGTTGGACACAACTGAAACGACTCAACAACAGCTCCGGACTTCAAGTCTAGTGTCCTTTGTCCCACAGGAGAGAGACACCCAGAGGTGGAGAAGAGGTCTGGAGAGACAAAGCTGCTCAGTGGGATTTGACTGATTGTTGCTCATATTTTTAGTTTCAGATTGCCGCTGCTATGGCCTGTGGCCTTTTATTATGTTATGATGTGTAGGTAATACACTGCTCCAGTTAGCTGATTCACCTCCCTTCCCTGATCAAAGGGCTCTCTGACCTCTAAACTTCTATGTCTTCTCATCCCCACAAGAGCATAGCACAGGACATCTCATTAGCAGGCACTGGAAGGGAGGTGACTGGAAGGTTAAGGGACTGAATTAGTGCAATAAGTACAATAGTCCCTCAGTTGAAAAAATATTGGCTGGGCTGTAGCTGCATGGAGTTAATGGTCTAAATCACTGGATTACAAAATCAGTGTTCTCCATACCCCCAGGCAGTGGGATGACCCACAGCAAGAGGTCCAGGATCACTCAAAGACCCGAAAGATGATAAACTACCCAACAACCCAACCTGCCTTCTATCTACAGCTGAGGAGCAGGTCTCTAAAACAACCATCCCACTCTTTCCCTATTGTCTTGCAATGACACCCTAGTCCTCCCCTTTGGGCCAACTTCCAGTTGTACCACAGAAATATTAAATAACTAATGACCACAGCCTTGGATTATTTCCACTCAGTCAAAAGGAGAATAGCTAAAATGTTCCAAAAGGTAAGAAAACAGAAAAATTATGAGTAACCAGAAAGAGGTGAACATGTGGTGAACAGAGGTGAACAAGATAATGATTTAGCAATTTTCAATTCTTAAAAAAAGTGGTCATCTTTCATAGTATATAGTATACGTAAATATTTCAAAAGAACTGTGATTTCATCATTAGAACCAGCATATTCTCCACCAAGAGATCCATGATCATTAAATGCCTCATTTTCTGTTGTAAGCCATATGGGGCAGTTATAATATAACCTCAGCCCAGACACCTGCCCCAACATCTGTGCAGGTCTCACTGGGACATAATCCCATTCCTGCCCCAATCATACCCACCCCCTAGATCCCCAGATTACCCTGTGCTACCCTTTCAGTAGATTCTGCCTTCCAGGACAATAGCCAGAAAGAGCCCTGACCCACCTTTTCTATTTTTGGTAAAACAAGACCACTCATTAAATCATATTCTCCTCCTTATCCTCCTATCCTGGAAAGTGATCCCTCTTCCAAACTTCCTTATTTCTATGCTGCACACCACTGTCTTTCAAGTCACCTAGGTTCACAATCTTGGTGTCATCCCTAACTCCTTATTTTCATTCACACCACACATTTTATCATTTGTGGAATTTTGTTGTTTCTATCTCTGCAAATACTTACCCAGCCATCACTCTAAATCAAGCCTTCTACAACCTTCTGAATAGTGTGGGGAACCTGCAGCCTCAAGGCCACATGGGGCCTTCTAGGTCCTTGCATGAGGCCTTTTGACTGAGTCCAAGTTTTACAGAACAAATTCTTTTATTAAGGGGATTTGTTCTGTGAAGCCTGGATTCAGTGGAAGGACCACTCTTGAGGACCTAGGGGGGTAAAAGGATTTGTTCTGTGAAACTTGGACTCAGTCAAAAGGCCTCATGCAAGGACCTAGAAGGCCCCATGTGGCCTTGAGGCTGCAGTTCCCCACCCCAGGACTGTTTCCTTGTCTTGTTTCTTTCCTCTCCATTCCATCCTCAATCTATCAAAGGGATTTTTCTAAGGATCAAATATGACTGTGTCACTGCCTTACTCACTTCCTCACTCACTTCCTGTGGCTCCCTATTGTTTCTAGGGTCAAATATTATTTCACCTCTATGTCATCCTTTCCCATTTCTAATTTTGTGTAAATTTTATAACAAACATAATAACACCCAGGGCTTAGCACACTATCTGGCACATGGTAGGTACTTAATCAATGTTGATGGGTCTAATACAGCAGTATATGTCAATAATTTATAAATAAGTAAATACACATTTACTTATTGAAGATATTTTTATCCTCAATATTGAGGATATAAATATTTACTTATTTACTATATGAGGATGCTTGTGCAAAAAAAGTATTGAGTTTTATATGCAATCCAGAAAGTTTGGTTACCACTGGTCTAGATGAAATTGTGTGATATAATGGAAAGAATCGTCAGGAAATGTGAATTTGGGAGGGTACCCACACTTACTAATTAGTGACTGGAAAAGGCAGGCCAGAGTATCTGGAGTCTGAGTTCTAGTTCAAATCTGCATTTTGTTAGTTCTATTTATTTGACCTGGCTTGTTTCTTCATCTGTAAAATAATGGGGTTGTACTAAACGACTTATAAAGCTCCTTCCTGCGCTAAATCAGTGACCTTATGATCTCTCTGGGCCTCAGTCTCTTCATCTGTAAATTGGGGCTGGTGAGTTAATGATTTTTGTGCTACCTGCCTTCCATGGTCATTTGTGCAGAAAGTAGTTTGGAAGGGTTGGCTGAAGCGAGCCACAACGTCCAGGACCGGAAGTTAGCCCTACCCCAACTTCTGGACGACGTGGCAGATGGGCTCCTGGCTCTTTAAATCCCCAGGCTTTCTCCCGGGCTCCGCCTCCTGGCCCCGCCCCCCTGGGTGCCGGCTGCAGACCTCGGGTCTCGCGCCTGCGCGCTGGTGGCGGCGGCGGGGGTGGGGCCGGGCTTCCAGGAGGAGGCGGTGGCGCTGCCCAGCGGCGGGAGGAGAGAACCCTCCGGGCAGCCGGCCGTGGCCTGGGCGCCGCGATGTCCAGCGGGTACCAGGGCAGCCCTCTTCTCTGAACCCGTTTGCCTCCAGGTCTCCTTGCCCGAGGAGGAGGAGGCGGCGGCGTCCGCCGCCATGGCGGAGGCTGGGGAACCGGGGCCGCGGGGAGCCGTCGGGGGCCCCGAAGAGGATGAGGACGAGGAGCGGGAGCCGCTGCTGCCGAGGCCGGGTCGGGCCCCGCCGGGCGGCGCCGTGAGGATCCTCGAGGACCCCGAGGGAGGAGGGCACGGCGGCGGCGAAGCCCGAGGGGACGAGGAGACCGCGTCCGACGGAGACGAGGAGGAAGAGCTGCTCCTGCCTGGGGGAAAGGCCGCCGACCCGGGCGGCCGGGGCCGTGGCCGGAGGGCTCGACGGAGCTCTACCTTAGACCGCCTCCGCCTCTTCTCGGCAGGTAACGAGCCGCCCGCAGCATCCCCGCGGCTTCCCTCCGGCTCACCCTGCCCGGCCTTCGGGGGGCTTTGGCCGCCGCCACCCAGAGACCCTGCACGACTTCGGGGGGGGACGAGCGGGGGCGTTATCCGGGCCTCCCTGGCTCCTTCCCCGCCTCCGCGAGGCCCCCAAACCCATGCCCGGCCCCCGGTGTCACGTCATAAACTTTGTCCATTGGGTCGTTCTCGGAGAGAGTCTGAGCTTCGCAAGCGTGGTCCGACGAAAGGGGTGTGGGGCCTGCAACAAAGTTTGTGTTGGTTTGCTATTCCATTGGGGAATTCCAGACTTTGTGAACATTGTCAAGAACACGTGTGTGTGTGTGTGTGTGTGTGTGTGTGTGTGTGTGTGTGTGTGTGCGCGCGTGCGCGTGCGTGCTTTGACAAAGTTTACATTCGTTTGAGATCCCTTTGGGCGATTTCAAACTTTGTAAACTTGCCAAGAAAGTTGTATGTCAGTCTTAAAAAAAGTTTGCTTTAGTTTGACATCCTTATGGGGAATTTCAAATTTTGTAAACATTGTTATAAAAAGGTTGTATATGTGTGGTTTAACTACGTTTGCGTTCGTTTGATAACCCTGTGGGGAATCTAAGCCTTTGTAAGCATAGTCCAAGAGAGACCGAGAGAGAGAGAGAGAGAGAGAGAGAGAGAGAGAGAGAGAGAGAGAGAGAGTGTGTGTGTGTGTGTGTGTGTGTGTGTGTGTCTGTCTGTCTGTCTGTCTGTCTGTCTGTCTGTCTGCCTGACTGAACAAAGTTTGCATTACTTCGATATGCCTGTGGGGGATTTCAAATTTTGTAAACATTGTTCAGAAAGTTTGTGTGTGTGTACACAAAGTTCGAGTTAATTTGGTAATCCTTTGGGGAACTTTAGACTTTTTAAGCTTTGTCAGTAAGTGTGTGTGTTTGAATTAGTTTGATATCCATATGGAGAATTTCAAACTTTGTAAGAGTTGGCCAAGAAAGTTGTGTGTGTGTGTGTGTGTGTGTGTGTGTGTGTGGTTTAACAAGGTTTGAGTTAGTTTGATATCCCTATGGAGAATTTCAAACTTTGTAAGCATAGTCAAAAAAGTTTTGTATGCATGTCTATGGCTTACGTTTTGAATTAATTTGATATCCTTATGGAGAATATTTAATGATTTTTTAAAGCAAATTGTCATTCAGAGTGATGATAATAGACAGATGTTCAGCCCTTCCCATAAGAATATCTCCACTTTTAATCTAAATTGTTTCATTGATCTATTTTGTGGGCTAGCTGTAACCTCAAGCCCACCAGCATTTCCTAAATTAGATTAATTGGTACATTAATTGGAGTTTGATGAGGAAAATGTTGATACTAAGGATATTTTTCCTTTCCAGAAAAGTTAATGTGACAGTTGATATATATCTAACATATTTAAGTGTAGTAATTTTTTGGCAGTGAAAATAGGTTTAATGGCCTCTTTTTCGCTTGAAAAATTTCCCCAGCCTACTTCTGTCTACTCATCAGTATAACCAAGGTGCTCCCTACTCCTAGATGTAAACAGTGGGCTTTTCTGTAAGTATATTTGAAGCCCTAAGATATTCAGGAACAAAATTAGCTTGGAAATACTGTCTAAAGCAGTGTAGGTAATAGACCACAAAATTGCTGCAAAGAACTTAGCAATAAATTAGCCTAACACCATCATCTGTTACAGGTAAAGCACAGAAATGGTGATGTGATAAATTTGCTCAGGGTCATAGAACTAATAAATGTCAGAGCCAACATTTGAACCCATAGCTTCAGATTCCATCTGTTGTCCCTTGCACTATATCCTGCTTATATAGTTGAGACCTTAGATTCATTTTATATGCAGAGAGGCTTCCTTAGGGTAGAATCTTTCAAATCTTTGAATTTACAACAAAACAGATCTTTCTGGTTTATTTTAAATACTTTTAAGTACTTTTGTAAGTGAAGAGGATCTCCCACTATTGTTCAGGCCTTCAGTTACTCTTTTCTAGATTTTTTTAAATAGCCTACCAGTTGTTCTCTCCACCTCTAGTTTTTGCTCTCTTTAGGAGTGCTGAATTGGGTTACTAGACTCAAATTTGCAACCCATCCCCGAACCATAATATCTCTGTAACAGTGCAAATCACCTGACCTTTCTAGGCCTCAGTTTCCTCATCTCTGAGATAAGGGGATTAGATTAAATAACCTTTAAAGTCCCTTCCAGTTCTAGATCTGTGATCCTGTAATGTAACTACCACTGCTGCCAGAGTAATCTACCTGATGCTGCCAGGCACCAGAACTTCTGCCTGGATGTACTACTGTTACCTCAAATTTAATATATCCCAAACTACACATTTCTTCCTCTCTCTTTCTCACCCCTACTCCCCAACCCCAACCCATTTCCATCCACTCTTCTTAAACTTCCTTCTCTCTGTTGGTATTAATTGTCTTTTCAGTCACCCAGGTTGGAAACATGAATCACTTTTGCTTTTTTCCCCTTTCATCCAGTTTGCTGCAAAGCCTTATCTAGTCTCTGTGGTGTCTTTTGTGCTGCCTGTTCCATGACTCTCTCATTTTGCTCAGAGCAGCTATTGCTTGGGCTATTATAATGCTTTCTAACTTTTCTCCCTGTCTCCAGATTGTCTTAGAACTGTAGCTATAGCAGTGATTTTATGAAATGTTAGGATAATTGACAGTAAAGAATAAAAGATAATATTGGATTTTTCTGTTTTCAATATATCTTTCGTATCACTGCCACAAAAATTCTAATGTACAAATCTGACCATACTACTTTATTAATTAAGGTCATTTAGGAGCTAGTATAGTTTGGCCCCAACCTACCTTTCCAGTTTTACCATATACTAATACCTTTAACAGTTTCTGATTTTGAGGAAAACCATCTGTTCCCTAATTTCATGTTGTCTTTTCCCATCTCTTAGCCTCTGTACGTACTCTTCTTCAGGCCTGGAACGAGCACCTCAGCCAGTTCAATTCATTCAACACTTTCCTTTAAGGCCTTATTTGGTTATCCCTCCTCCATGAAGATTTCCCTAAATCCCACCTTAATGTGACCTCTCCCTTATCAAATCTCTCATACTATATTCTATTTAGACCTCTCCTATGATAACCTGTTTATTATAATTATTTTCACATGTCTTATTTCACCCTACTAAAGTGTAAGCTGTCTGATGCATCTTTTTTTTAAAATCTCTACTATTTAGCAGAGTGTATTGCATATATGAGGTGCTTAATAAATGTTTGTTAAACTGAGTTGGATCTTAGGCTTCATTATAAGAAATATAGCACGCAGAACCAGAGAGATCATAATCCTACTGTACTTTACCCTGGTCAAATCATATTTAAAGTTTTGTGTTCAGTTTGGAGTGTCACATCTTGAGAGGAACGTTGACAAGCCAGAGCCTGATTAGGAGAGGTTTCTATAAATGGAATGGACTCTCCGGTATGGTAGTGAGCTACTATAAATCTGTTCAAACAAGTCTGGATAACAACCTGTTAGGGATGTTATAGAAGGAATTTTTGCATTTTATAAGAATAATAAGTATTCCCTCCTCCTAGACTGAAAGAGCTAGAAGACTTGAACTGTACGATATAGCCAGTTAATAATAATTAAGGATAAAAGTAAAAGCCCAACTTTGCTTTTGGTTAGTTCTTTATTATTTTGTGGTAATGCTAATCCTAGCAGAAAGTTGAGCTGACAGGTAGGATTCAATTCAATAAATATTTAATAAACACCACTGGTATGCCAGGCACTGAGGAAATATGGATAGAAGCAAAGCACAGAGCAGAGTCTATGCTCAGAGACTTTTGGGAAACCCACCATGAGAAGTGATAAATATAATAGGGAGTAGGAAATAAAGGAGAGATCTGACAGACTTCTAGAATTGGCTCATGGAAGAGTCAGCTTCTTAGCAGAGCCTCCAATGATAGGCTACAGAATTGAGACACTCTTCTGTGGTGGACTTGTTATTAACCTTGAAATATAGCCAGCACCTCCTTTACATAAGATTTGAATTATCAGACAACTGCTCGCCATGCATTCAGATAGCCATTCCGTTTCCAGCTGCTGCTATTTGGCGTTTCCCAGTCCTTGCCACTGTAGCACCACTGCTGTTAAGATACCCTTCTTTAGGCTGCCTACTCACACTGATTCCAATGAAAGCCTACTTTTGCATTTGTAGGGGCAGGGTGGTGCCAAAAGCGAAGAGAAAGGAGGGATGTTTTTCCTCTCTCTATACTATAACAGTTCCTTTAACAGTTCCTAGACTTCCTCTCTCTCTGCTCTTCTTCCTCTTTGCCTTGGGTCATTCTTATGTTAAAATATGCCACATAGTCTCTTAAGTATTTATGCTCCTGAACATGGATGAATCTTAATTCAGTTTTTTGTGTACCCAGTGACAGCACTGTTATCTGTGTAGTCTTTGTCTTTCCCTACAGGTCCTAAGTGAATAAAGAAGGTGAGAAAAAGTGGTATGGGGAGAGCTATATTTGTTAACCTTCTGTTTCTCATTGTTGTTAGCAGTAAAAACTCAATACCTTAAAGAGGTACTAGCTTTTTGTTTATTAACCCCCTGTCCTTGAAATAGTGAGATTGCATTCTGTTCTTCAGTGAGGTTGGGGAAGAGAGAACTCCAGAAATAATAGATTTTACAATAGAAAGTTAAGGAGACAGGCGAGCCGTGGAATCAGGAGGTGATAGGGAAACCTCAGAATTGTTCTGGATCAGTTGCTTCAGTAGGCTTCTAGGTTCAGTTTCAGCATATTTCTCTTAGATCATGGCTTATACAATACCTTTCCCCCAGTATTTTTTTCACCGTGTCCTGTCAGCTAAGGAACAGACCTTATTCCTTCAAGCCTACTCATGAGGGATATTCTTGTCTCATGGCCAGACAATCTCACTTCAAGTTAAAAGTTAGGGAGTTGTGTGGCCAAAACATAATTATCCCTTCTACAACATCCCCAGCAGATAGTTGACTAGCCTTTCCCTTTAGTAGCCTATATACTTTTGGGTCACTCTAATTGTTAATAAATTTATCTTAATATTGATAAGGAATTTACTTTCCTATCACTTCCACTTATAGATCCTAGTTTTGCCCTGTGGGGCCAAGCAAAACAAATAAAATAAAAATTTTTCTGCTTAACAGTCTTTCAGATAGTTTGAGGGAACTATCATGTCCCCCCCCCCCGCCTTCCCGCCCCCCCAGTTCTTTTATTATTCAGGATCCCAAGTTGCTTCAGTCAGATCTCATATGACAGTAAAGTCAACTATCACCTCACCTTCCTCACTTTGAACACTATACTTTTATTACTAGCTCACTGTGTGACTGTCTTAGAAACATTGTTATATGTGTTCTTTGGCACTATTAATAAAGTGTCAGATGGTCCAGCCCTGGCCTAGGCTAAATGCCCTTCTGTGGACTATCCCCAAGAACCCAGCTACCATATATAACTTTGCTTCTATATGATCATGTATTTACTGAATTTCAAAGGACCAGCTTAAAATGAACTTTTGGAATATAGGTTCTTAAAGTAAGCATTCAATGTGTAATAAAACATAGGTGTATTATCTAGATGGTGAGGAAGACTGGTCTGAAGAGCCTGAAATATGGAATAGTTTTAAAATAAATGCTATTTTATTGCTTTTAGGTTTGTATCATATCTAGAATTAGGGAACTAGTATAGATAATATATCTTAGATACTTGAATTGATTGTAACTAACATTGGCTATGTAGTAGTAGTAACAATAACATAGTTGTAATGCTTGACACATACATTAATGGTGCTTTAAAGTTCACAGAGTACTTTCCTTTCAATAACCTTGCAAAGATGAGTATTCCATATTATGTTCAAGTAAATTCTTCTAGAGTAGTTGAGAAGTTTATTCTTTTAAGAAGATTAAATTTACCCCTAGAATCTTTTAATAGAATTTTCTGAGCATACTTTGTAATCTGTAAAGCAAATGTCTAGCTTCTTTCACAGACTTTTAAGTGACAGTTCAAATTAATCAAATTTTATTGTATTCTGAATTCTTAAAACCCCCAAAACACTGCTATCCAACATATCTTCCAAATATAGATGAAAATAGTTTGGTAATTCATCTCCTGTTTTCTTTTATCCATGTCACAGCATCCTTCCATCATTCTGAGAACTGACTGAAAATGGTAAAGAATTGCTAATGATTAAGGAAAGTTTAATCAGAAAGTACAGTGCCGTGAATCATTATTTCATTTTATACTGTCTGAACTTTAGTAATAAATATAGGAAAAATCAAAGATTAAAATAGTTATTATAATATTATACCATTTTCCTTTTCATCATTGGCCTAGTTTGTATTGTTTTAAATCAAATAATACCGTTTCACTTGTACTTTGGAATCCTGGATCACACCTCCATTGCTGTTTTGTCTTTATTTTTTTTAATTTAGTAAAATCTCATGTTGTATTAACATTTTTAATGCAATAAATTTTGTAGGTCTTGCAGAGATGAACTTATTCTTGGAGGATCCAGAATTTACTGACATGATAATGAAAGCAGAACAAGCAATAGACTCTGGAATTCTCCCAGAAAGAATCTCTCAAGGTTCAAGTGGAAGTTATTTTGTCAAGGATCCCAAAGGGGTGAGAATTTTATAGAATAAATGTATTTAACATCAGTTTTGGAGGAAATGTTGTATTCTTTTCCTGTATGAATCTTTTTTTTTTAAAGTTATCGCCAACACAATTCTTACAGAAATAGAACTAATGATTTTATCAAACTTTTAACTTTTGATAAATTTGTATTCCAATCTTTGTTTTACTTACATATGTTTTTGCAGAATTGTGCGTATTATTTTGTTGTCTGCTTTTTAGTTTGATGTAATTTTTCTGACATAAAAGATTTTTAAAGATAAATATTTTGAATATTAGGAGTTCTGCCCTTACTTGGTTACTAAAACCTGTTTAAAATAGTTATATGATTAATTAGTGTTCCTAGAGATTTTTTTCCATTAAACTTATGATCACTTTCTGTTCAGAAAAGAAAGTCAACCCTCAATAACTGATAACTAATAATAACTGATAACCCTAAATAAAAAATAGACAGCAATTCTTAATAAAATGTTTTTATTTAGGAATATAGTACTTTAGTTGGCTGACTTTTGCTGAAAGTCACAAATTTGCTGTCTCATTGCCTAGCATTAATTTTAAAATATTTTATTAAGTCCTGCTATTGCTAGGTCTCTAGACATTGTGCTATTAAGTTAGATACAGGCAGTAATTGCCTTCAGTAGTTTAAAGTGCAGTTTTAAAAGCTGATGAAATTTTTGAAAGTTTTGAAATTTGGTGAAGTTGAGTGTAGTTATTTCATAGAGAAACTGTCTCATCTTTGAGATTATGCCAGCCATTTCAGTCACACAATTTCAGAGCTCAAAGGGAAATACTCAGAGGCCAACCCATATACCTCAGTTGGAATTCAAAGATTCAACAAGCATATGTTCAATGCTTTCTATGTGCAAGGTACTAGAGAGTCAAAAACAAAATAGAAACATTCCCTTGTCCTCAAGAAGCTTATATTCTGCTGGGTGAAGAGGCTACAACAATTACACAGATGGTATTTTGAGAAATTTTTGAGGCTATTAATAATGTTTTCTGCAGTAAGTAGTCCTTGCTTGAAGAACTCTGGTGAGGGCAACTTATTGCCTCCCAAGACAGCATATTACACTTTTTGACAGCTCAGTTCAGAAGTTTTGCTACTTCTGTCTGGAACAGAGTAGCACTTAATTAAATGTGTTGATAATGATAATACCAAGCCTAAATTTGTTTCTCTACAGCTTCTGCCTGTTGTTTCTAGTTGTGTACTCTGGGGCTAACCAGAAAAGTCTAACCTTTTTTTTTTTTAAATTGTCCATCATTCTTTAATGTCTTTGTAGTTGTCATGTCTTGTCTTCTCAGTGGTAAACATCTTTTGTTCTTTCAACAGAACTTCATAGTGGCATGGTCTCTAGACCCTTAATCATTCTGGTCATCCTTCTGTAATACTGCAGCTTCTCCTTACTAAGCTGTAGCTCCCAAAATGGAATACTGTACTCTAGATGTGGCTTGACCAGGTCAAAATACTGTAGGACTATCATTTTACTTGCCATGGATACCATCCTCCTAAGATTAAGCTAGAGTTGTTACGTTCTTGACTCAATATCAAAGATGCAATCTGTTAAAATATTCTGATCTTTTTTTCAAACAAACCACTGCCTAGTCATATGCCCATTGTCTAGATTTGTTATTTGAAGTTAACAAAGCAAAAATGAGGGGCAGCTAGGTGGCACGGTGGATAGAGCACCGGCCCTGAAGTCAGCAGGACTTGAGTTTAAATCCGGCCTCAGACCAAACACTTGACATTTACTAGGTGTGTGACCCTGGGCAAGTCACTTAACCCCAATTGCTTTTTTAAAAAAAAGAAGAAAATAAGCAAAAATGAACCCATGTATAGTTCTGATCAAAAAATAAATTTATTTGGCCATCTCATTTCCATCCTAGTTTTCCACCCTCCTTAAGTACAGAGAACTTTTCCCAAAACCTTTTGATTAATACTTACTCAACACTCCGTTTCCACAAAAAGCTACTATAGTTTTAACGTTAAGAAAACTGGAAGCACTAAATTCTTAGAATTTAAAATTTTTTATTGTTAGCTTTCTTTAAGCTCATATAATATAGGTGGGTAATTTGATTTTCTTGTTTTTTCTTGATTTCTTTTTTTATGCTTTGTATCTTTGTGTTAATACTAGTTATTATACTTTGATATACTGTAATTCTATTGCAAAGCTACTATTTCTTGTCTCAAAAGAAAATACAATCTCCAGGTCTCTGAATATATTATTTGTGAGAAACAAATAATGATGATTTATTGCGGGTTTAGATCATTTGAGTACATGAAATCTTTAAGCATAAGAACAGGCACTGCTTTGTCAGAAGGAAGGTTTCTAAAAGAAGAAAAAACTAATGTAAAGAATGTAATGTTAAGACAAATTGATGTAAACCTTCACATGCTATAATAAATCTGAATTTTTAGTATTATGGTAAAAGATAACATACTATACGGGCAAAAAGAGCACTAGTTTGGGGAGCAAGAGAGCACTGATTCTAACTTTAACTGTACAGAGTAAATCATCTATTTCAGGAAATTCGGAATTCAGCTAAGATCTGTTATTTTTAAAAATGAGATTTATTAAAAAGTAGAATGCAGTTTTATGAATTTTTGTTCAATTGTGTAAAATAATTAAAACCTAATTATGTTACTTTTCTTCTTTAGAAAATTATTGGTGTCTTTAAGCCAAAATCTGAAGAGCCTTATGGTCATCTAAATCCAAAATGGACCAAATATTTTCATAAGATCTGCTGTCCTTGCTGTTTTGGCAGAGGTTGCCTTGTACCTAATCAGGGATACCTTTCCGAAGCTGGTGCCTATCTTGTAGATGAAAAGCTTGGTCTGGGAGTTGTACCCAAAACAAAGGTAAAATGATAATTAGCTTAAAGATAATACCTTATGTGTTATATGGAGTAAGCCTGCCTAGTTACAGTTTCCTGGGTATAAAGGTTCCTTATGACAATGCTTCAAATTGAATCATTTACCAAGTCTTAGAGAGACATTGTGATACAGAGAAAAAGAGCACTGGCTTTGTAGTGAGAGGAACTGAATTCAAACCTTTCCTTTGTCTCTTATTCCTTGCACTATCTTGGGCTTAATGTCCTAACCACTTAACTTCTCCAGACCTTAGTGTCCTCCTCTATTAAATTTGAGGCAGGGGAGAAGGGGAGATATGGAGTTGAAATAGATGATCTCTAAGGGTCCTTCCAGGTTTCTGTCTATGCTCCTGTGTTCTGTTAAGCTGGAGATGATTAGAGATTAGTTGACACTAGTGAAGATAAAAGTATTTGGGAGCTATTCATGTGAAAGAAAAAGATGGGGAAAGAACTTTAGAATGAAAAGGAAGTAGGTGTTGGAAAGTGAGGATTTAAAGATTTCTTGAAAACAAAAAGATACCCTAGTGTCCTAATAATTCTATTTTTTAATGCCTTTTTAGATTTTTTTTTTTACTTTCAGAATTGCATTAAAATAGTAAGGCTTCATAGCCTGTTGTATTCAGGGTTTTTTTTTCCCCACTTTACCCTTTCATGGATTTGTGATTACTTTTGACATTCTTTAATTGAGACTCCTCACCTAAGCTGACAAAAGCCCTCAATGTCTACATGTTCATATTAAATAACTTCTTTTAGGTTATATGGGGATGCTTTATTGCTTGAGTGAGTTTCTACCCTGGCATTTTAGAATGCCAGGATCAAGAAGGACCTAAGAAGTCATCCAGTTTCACCTTTTACCTGAACTGCGCAATTCTTCTACAACATTACTTATGGACAGTTGTTGAGCTTCTGCTTAAATACTCTTACTAAACGACTTCTTTCTCCTTCATGAGGTAGCCCATTACATTAAAATTTTTTTTATTATTTTTAATCTTAAACTTATTTATTTTTAGTTTTCAACATTTATTTCCACAGGATTTTGAGTTTCAAATTTTCATCTAGCCCTTCCCCCCACCCCAAGATAGCATGCATTCTGAATATCCCTTCCCCTAGTCTGCTCTCCCTTCTATCTCTCCCCCCCACTTCTTTTATCCCCTTCCCCTTACTTTCCTGTAGGTCAGGATAGATTTCTATACCCCATTTCCTGTATTTCTTATTTCCCAGTTGCATGTGAAAACATTTTTTTCCCTTAAACATGTGTTTTTAAAACTTTGGGTTCCAAATTTTCTCTCTTTCTCCCTCCCCACCCACCCTCATTGAAAAGGCAAGCAACTCAATATAGGTTATACATGTGCAGTTACGAAAAACACTTCCATAGTAGTCATGTTGTGAAAAACTAACTCTATTTCCCTTAATCCTGTCCCACCCTACCCCATTTATTCTGTTCTTTCTTTTGACCCCGTCCCTCCTCAGAAATGTTTGCTTCTGATTACCCCCTTTTCCAATCTGCCCTCCTTTCTATCATTCCCTTGCTCTCTTGTCCCCTTCCCCTATTTTCCTGTAGGGTAAGACAGATTTCCATCCCCAACTGAGTGTGTATGTTATTCCCCCCTTAAGCCAAATCCTGTGAGAATAGATTCACTCATTCCTTCTCACCTTCCGCTGTTTCCCCTCCACTGTAAGAGTCTTTTCTTTTCTGTTCTTTGTGAGATAATTTACTCCGTTCTACCTCTTCCTTTCTCCTTCTCCCAGTATAATCCTCTCTCACCCCTTAATTTTATTCTCCAGATATGACCCCTTCATCTTCAACTCACCCTGTGCCCTCTATTTATCTATCTGTCTGTCTATCTATCTATCTATCTATCTATCTATCTATCTATCTATCTATATCTATACACATACATATAATTTTTTCCCTCCAACTATCGTAATACTGACAAAGGTCTCATGAGTTATAAATATCATCTTTCCATGGAGGAATGTAAACAGTTCAACCTTAATAAGTCTCTTATGATTTCTCTTTCCTATTTGCCTCTTCAGACTCTTTGGGTCTTGTATTTGAAAGTCAAATTTTCTATTCAGCTCTGGTCTTTTCATCAAGAATGCTTGAAAGTCCTCTATTTCACTGAATAACTATTTTTTCCCCTGAAGGATTATACTCAGTTTTTCTGGGTAGGTGCTTTTTGGTTGTAATCCTATCTCCTTTGCCCTCCGGAATATTATATTCCATGCCCTCTCCTTAATGTAGAAGCTGCTAAATCTTGTGTTATCCTGATTGTGTTTCCACAGTACTTGAATTGTTTCTTTCTGGCTGCTTGTAATATTTTCTCCTTGACCTGGGAACTCTGGAATTTGGCTACAATATTCCTAGGAGTTTTCCTTTGGGGATCTCTTTCAGGAGGAGATTGGTGGATTCTTTCAATTTCTATTTTGCCCTCTGGTTCTAAAATATCAGGGCAGTTTTCCTTGATAATTTCTTGAAAGATGATGTCTAGGCTCTTTTTTGATCATGGCTTTCAGATAGTCCAATAATTTTTAAATTCTCTCCCTGGATCTATTTTCCAGGTCAGTTGTTTTTCCAATGAGATATTTCACATTGTTTTCTAATTTTTCATTCTTTTGGATTTGTTTTACAGTGTCTTGATTTCTCATAAAGTCACTAGCTTCCAATTGCTCTTTCTAATTTTTAAGGAAGTATTTTCTTCAGTAATCTTTTGGACTTCCTTTTCCATTTGGCCAATTTTTCTTTTTAGGGCATTCTTTCCTCATTGGCTTTTTGGACCTCTTTTGCCATTTGGGTTAGGCTATTTTTTAAGGTGTTATTTTCTTCAGTATTTTTTGGGTCTCCTTTAGCAAGCTGTTGACTTGCTTTTCATGATTTTCTTGCATCACTCTCATTTCTCTTCCCAGTTTTTCCTTCACTTCTCTTATTTGCTTCTCAAACTCCTTTTTTGAGTTCTTCCAAGGCCTGGGACTGATTCATATTTTTCTTGGAGGCTTTGGATGTAGGAGCTTTGACTTTGTTGTCTTCTTCTGGTTGTACGTTTTGATCTTCTTTGTTACCAAAAGTTTCTATGGTCTGACACTTCTTGCAAGGTTTGCTCGTGATCCCAGCTAATTACTTGAGTTATAAACTCTATTAAGGTAGAGGTCTGCTTCCAATGTGGAGAATGTACTGTCCCAAGCTTCAGGGATTTGTATAGCTGTTTTCAGAGATCTTTCTAGGGACCTGTAAATTTTCAGTTCTTCCGAGGTGGTATGATAAGGGTGAGATGTTTACACCTTTCCTGTCTTTGTGCTCTGGTCTGTGAGTGACCATAAGCACTCTTTTCTGTCTTGGAACTGTGAGGAGGGTTTCTTTTCCACAGCCACTACAAGCTCTACCATGCCAGTGCTCTTCCTCGCCCCAGGACTGCCCCTCAGAACTGTGACCCAGATCCAAGCACAGGCAAAGCAAGAGATTCATGCCTCAGCAAAGAGGTCCCTGCAGTCCACTTCTGATCAGCCACCTGATTCCCCTTCAGTCTGTGGGTCAGAAGCTCAGGAGGCAGCTACCACCCCAGGGGCGGGCTCCCTAGGGAACTGAGCCTGAGACCTAACTTCTCTCTCGCCACAGAAACAGGCTTTTCCCACTGACCTTCTAAGTTGTCTTTGGCGTTCATGGGTTGAGAAGTCTGGAAACCGTCACAGCTGCCTTCGATTCAGTCCTTTGAGGCCTGTTCCAGGTTCACTGTGGCCTGCGCACCCATGCCACACCGCATTCCTCTCCCCACCCGGCATGATACACCTTTCTGATCAACCATCCAGGTTGTCTTGAGCTGGAAATTTGTTTCACTCTGTCTTTTTATGGATTCTGCTGTTTTAGAATTTGTTTAGAGCCATTTTTTATAAGTATTTGGAGGGAGTTGGGGGAAATCACTGCTTTTACTCTGCCATCTTGGCTCTGCCCACCCCCATTACATTTTTTAAATAGCTTTGTTTCAGGTTTATTATTTCAAACCAAAATTTGCTTTTTCTAACTTTTATCCATTGGTTCTAGCTCTGCCTTCTGGAGTTATAGAATAAATCGATTCATCCTTGATACTGTTCTGTCACCACACAAGACTTCTTTTCCTTAGTTTCTCTCCCAGTTCTGTATGTGATATGATTTCAAAACAGTTCCCTTAAATATGCTACAGTTTGTGTTCATAAAATTTGTTGCCCACGTAGACTGGTTCATAAATATGGAAGCAACAGATCATGACTCTTAAACTGATTTTTTAAAATATTTATTGTAAATGTGATTACCCAATAAAAGAAATAAGTGAACAAAATAAGAAATACAAATACACATAAAACCATAAACTCCAATAGTAAATTACATAAATATATGTAAAACATAATATATATATAATATAAACTCTAAAAATAAAATTTTATAATTCCCTAAAAGGAAAAAAGTATATTTACATGTACATTTTGCAAGAATTTGTGATTTCATCATTGTGGGTTCTCCCCTTACCAGCTCAGATTGAAACCCCGCTAAAACTTAGTAGAACATCTTCATGAGGTACTGTGGCTGAAACTTTTATTCTGCAATAAGCCTGCTGACAAGTCCCTCCAAACTTACCTAGACTGATCCTCCAAAAATAGACCTATTTTTATCACGGGACCTGTGCGCAAAGCCTGGCTACATAGTTCTTAACAAAACTTTTATTACAAAGTTTAACAAAGTAATTAGACCTTACTTCTTGTTGTGCCTCCTGAGCTTTGTGTTTATCAGATTTTTTTGTTTTGTAATCATCACTAGTGACGCTTAACGTCAGATATAGAACTTAAAGTGTGTATTTTTAGGTGGTCTGGCTTGTGAGTGAGACATTTAACTACAGTGCAATAGACCGTGCAAAATCAAAAGGCAAAAAATATGCTCTAGAAAAAGTACCAAGCGTGGGCAAAAAATTCCATCGAATAGGACTACCTCCCAAGGTAAGTTAGTATAAAAATTTTATTTGGGAGAAACCTCAGAATGTCTAGGTTTTTTTAAACAGTAAAGATAGTTATGTTTTTAAACTTCTACTTGATTGTTTAGCTGTGACATTTTAAAATCTAGTATTCAGATAGAGAAATTCCAAAAAAATTTCACTCACAGCCGTATGTTTCACATGGGCATCGAACTTAAAACTTTTACATGCTTTTTATTCCCTTTGTCAGAAAGGGTAAATATTGCTAAATAAAGAAGTTATATTTTTGTATCTCTGATTTCCATTATTTAATCTAAAAGTTCTTTACAGAGTTTAAGGAAACTGACATTCTAAGTTAACCACAGAAATGTAATGTTTTAGGATAAAAATAAAGAGGAAATGTTTGTCCTCTTTGAGAGCTCTTTGAATTGCTTCGTTTTCTTTTAAAAGTTTACAAAGAGCATTTGTTTCATGTTACAGAGAAATTGGTTATACTTTAAAATTGAATCTTTTTGTGTTTTATTTACCTCTTCTAACTGTAGCCATTAAAATTACAGGTGGGCTCCTTTCAGCTGTTTGTTGATCATTATAAGGAAGCTGATTATTGGCTTAGGAAATTTGAAGCTGATCCTTTACCTGAGAATGTTAGAAAACAGCTTCAGTCACAGTTTGAGAGATTAGTTGTTTTGGATTACATCACCAGAAATACAGGTATTAAACTTCTGTCTTCAGTTATAACCAATAGCTTATAGCCAATGTAAGGTGTAAGGTATTGTTGTTTTTTAACCCTTGTTAGGGTCTTGAACTATAAACATTTGGCAGCAAGATGAAGACCACATCTACTTTCTATTTGACAGAAAATCTGTCAAACACAAGCATTTATCAAGCAGCTACTAGGTGCTAGGCACTGGGGATACAAATACAAAAGTGAGATAGACCATGCCCTAAAGGAGCATCCCAGGGGCAAACCCAGTATTCACAGACAGATTCAGGATAGGTACAAAGTAATTTGTGGGGACTCTAACAAATGGGGAAGTCAGGAAAGTTCTATTTAAGAAGGGGGCAGTTGAGCTTAAGCCCTTAAGGAGACTTAGGGATTCCAGGAGGAAGATGAGAAAGAAAGGAATTCCTAGCATGGTAACAACCTATGCAGGAGATGGAATATTATATATAGTGACAAGGTGGCTAATTTGACTGGAGCACTTGATTGAGTTTATGTAATAAAGGGGAGTAGTGAGTAACCAGCCTTCAAAGAAGTGGAAGCCAAATTATGAAAAGCTCTAATGCCAAGCAGAGGAATTTGTATCTTATCCTAGAGGCACTAGCATAGTCAGTAGTCAATAAACATTTATTAAAGGCTTATCCTTTGCTAGACACCTTGATAATACTGAGGATACAAAGAAAGGCTTAAGAGAGCTCCTACCCTCAAGAAGCTCACAATCTAATGGGGGAACACAACACACTAGAAGAAGCTGAAAAGGGAGGAGTACCCAGGGGGAGGTGGTACAGCCTGTTGAAGTCCTGCAGCTAGGGTGGGAAATGATCTGAGGAGATGTGAGTTACCGTTGATTTCATCTTGCAGAATGATGAGTTTCTGAAGATCATGAAATCCAGGAGGTCAGCCAGGTGGGAAATGATGCCATCAGGGGCCCTAGAAAGCAGAGATACAGGGCTGAAAGGATTCTGCTGTGAAGACAGTCTTTTCAAGGAGAGTTTCTTGACCATCTTTGTGGGAATCATAATTCCATTACCTGTTAACAGTTTCCTAGGATACGTTCATATTGAAAATGTCCCTTTAGAAACATGGATAATTAAGAATTTACTGAGTGTATGTTATACATATATCCTTTAAGTGCCTATTAGTGCATTATGTGACCATTCATAGATAGAATAGCATAAGCTATAAATACATTCAACTATTGCTTTTATACATTAATGAAAAGAAACAGTGCCTTGAATTTGCATTATGTAATTTTTTCAAAAGATTTATTTTTCTACTTTGGTTTGGCTTAGTCTAAAATTAACATTTCCAGCACCTATTCAAACTGGCAGCAGAGAAAGCTGTTTTCTTAGAGTGATGCTAGATGGCAGGGGGAAGCCAGGAATAAATTTGAAATGTGCCACAGATAATCAGTGACGTTGGTAAGACACAGGTGGGTAGTTGAGAGCTGACTTTAGATTTTTCTAAAATAAGTTGTAGTTTACACAGAAATGAAATAAAATAACATTTTTGTTTTGAAAGACAGGGGAAATGATAATTGGTTAGTCCGATATGAAAAACAGAGTGATGGGAACAAAAGTTCCAATAAGGTAAGAAAATAAAAGGATGTGTCTAATATCCGTCTTAATGTCTTAATTTAAAGGAGAGTGATATTTCAACTTCTCTGATCTTGTGATTCCTTGTTTTCCTTTTCCTCTTAGCATTTAATGTGTTTCTTCTGTAGTTTTTCCTTCTTATCCCCTTTTCTTTTTATCTTTTCTTTCATTGTCTTGTTTTTCTTTTCTTTATTCTTTTCCTTGTTTTGTTGTTGTTGATGATGATGATTTTTTTTCTTTCCATTTTGTTGTTTGTAAGAGGCTAAGAAAATGAAACTGGGGAGTTTTTGAAATCTCGGATTGGATAACCATTAGTTTCTATTGAGTTTAAGTATACAAAGGTTTTGTTACCACATCTGTTATTTGCTACTTCCCCTTTTGGTCTACTTTTTCTCTCATTTTCATAGATTAGTGAACAGCATTATGCAAATATTACTCTTCACTGCATGGAATTGAATATTTCTTAGGCCATAACGAAGTGTCACATAACCTTATTTGTGAATAATTACTTAAAGGAATTTAAAAAAAATTTATTATGATAGACTACACATAAATTTAACAACCATTATGTGTGTTTGTATATCATATACAACCAAGAAATTGGTTATATACAGCTAATGGTTCAGTTATGATACCAGTTGACTAGCATATTTTTAAGGGCCTACCTTGTGCCAAACACTGTACTAAGCGCTAGGGACACAAAGGAAAGGGGGAAAAAAAGGTACCTGCTTTCAAGGCACTCAAACTAATGGTAGAGACAGAATGAAAACAAGATATACACAGGATAAATTGAGGATAGTTTCAGAGAGAAGATACTAAAATTAAGGAGGATTGGAAAAGACTTCTTGCTGAAGATAGGACTTTAGCTGAGATGTGAAAGACACTAAGGAAGCTAGGAGGCGGAGATAATGAGGGAGGACATTGCAGGCATGGGGGACAGCCAGTGAAAATTATTAAGAGTTGGGAGATGGAATGTCATGTGTAAGGAATAGCAAGGAAGCCAGTGTCAAAGTAGTAATGACAAGTGTGTAACACAAATGACATTGAATTTCAGTCAAATATACCAAAGGTATAGAAAAGCTCACAAGATGCTTGAATAAGTTTTTTGGGGGGAACCCTTAAACATTTAAGAAAATATTAAATGAGGCATTTTCTAAAACTTTTTCTAATCTGTCTATATTTCTTATTTTACATATTCAGACTTTACTTGATCAAAGGATTTTAGATAGCCACATCCTAAATTATTTTATTGCTGTGTTCCAGATGACTGAGTTTTTAGTGATAATTTGATTTTTGCATTTTTTATTCTTGCATTTTAATTGGCTTTATTGAAGTAAGCATTTCATAAAGTACAGAAGGAACAGTACATTTATTATATTGGCCTTCAATAAGAAAACTAATTTTTTAAAAATTGTCAAAACTACCTTTTCCTAGCCCCTGTGTTCCATTTTTGGTTTCTCTCTTCTGGGACATACCTTGTTACCTTGCCATATTTCATTTGGGTTTTACTTAGTACTCTGCCAGTCAGTCTATTATAAGCATATAGGAGATGCTTATATATTTACATCTGCTGGATCCAGGAACCCTGCATACTTTTTCACTGAATTTTTCTTGTGTGTGTGTGTGTGTGTGTGTTTTCTTGTGTAATATGCTAATATGTGTTACATGACTTAACATGTATAATGGATATCATATTGTTTTCTCAAGAAGTGGTTGTAGGAGGGATAGGAAGGAGGGAGAGAATCTGGAAATCAAAATTTTTAAAAATGAATGTTAAAAATTTTGTGAAATGTAATTGGGAAATATTTAATGAAATAAATAAAATATGTATATATTTTAAAAAGAATATGTCCTGGAAGTAGATAATGGTATTTTACTATATTTGGAAGCTACCATTCGGAAACTCTATCTGGGAATGAAAAAGGGAAATTTTCTTACTGATTAATTTGTACAATGCTTTAGGAGGGTGCAGATTTTTAAAGTGTGGTAAATAGGCACTTTGCTTCCTATGTTAAAGGAATGATGACCTTAATTTTTTTCCCTACCATATGTGTTTCAAATATGTACCGTTTAAAATGTAATGTTTTGCAAATACTGTAAATGTTGAGGATCTCTCTAACTATAAACTGATCTTGTAAAAATCACTCTTAATTTAATCCATCCCATGGTTTCAATAATATTTTAAAAGCCTTACTGGAAGGAGAAAAAAACACCTATTGTATTTCTGTCTTGTATTTTAGCTGAGGATGTATTTTCCAAGCCCCTTTTCCCATATATATTCAATAAAGATGACAGATGTAAAGTGGAAAAAAACCCCCCAAAACTAATGATTCTTAGATTCTGCCTGATTTGACACTAGCTCTTTCTGTTCCAATATGAAATTGTTAAAACTCACCATATTGTGAAAATACTGACTGGCACGTTTATGATAGAACCTTCAAAGCATGTATTTCTCCTATTTTCTTAATTATGTAAAAGAACTCTACGCTATGTAAGTATTTGTGTATAAAGCTTCTTACCAACAAAACAATTTCCCCCCTTAGGAAACAGAGTGGACTATGGGTAAAGAATCTCTTATTAAAATTGCTGCAATTGATAATGGTCTAGCATTTCCCTTTAAACATCCTGATGAATGGAGAGCATGTGAGTATTCTATGGTTATCCATATTTATATTTTTTCTTAAAAAAAAAAAAAGGTAAGGGAACCAAGGTTGCCCACATGGCAATGGAAGAAGGAAATGGTGAATGGAATATAATCCTGCCTAGTCTATCTACCATATGCAGAGAAAAGTTTGTGAAAGAAAAGTGAGAAAAAATGTCTTTATGATAGATCTGTACCCAACCTTTCATCATATCTTAGTGCTTTCCAGATAAAAACATCTCTGAAGTTTGACAGCCAGTCCAGAAGCCTTCACCAAAGCCCCCTCATCCTACTGCTACTACTACTGTGTGGCACTGTGAAGTCTTAGATTCCCTGCTAGCATCTTAAAAGGGTCATTATCTGTATAAAAATGATTAACTTCTGATGGTTTGAATCCTAGTTACTATATATGTAGCTATAGAGGCAAATGGCTCTTTAGAGGAAAGGGCTGTGTTACTACTATTGGCATAACTGTGGCCAAACTATTTTATTACTTCTTATTCCTCATTCTTTTTCTGGTTTATGTTGTAGAGATTGGAGTTAGAGACTAAAACTGAATGGAACAAAAATTTTGGTTTATCATTATGAACTGAACTAAGCCATGTCTGTTTTCAGATTTAATTATAGTAGATGTACCTTGCTGATAAAAAAAAATTATGTGCTTACAGAAATTTCAGTGGTATTACCTACACTTAACAATACCACCTCTTAGCCACATCCATATCTGTTTCTCAAATCATGGAGATAATAGTACAATTGTATGCCTTCCCAGAATACATAGTTAATTTGAATGCCAAAAGTACCTGTGCCTAAAAGACTATTTTATGGAGAACTTACTCAAGGCAAGTGCTCACATGGTAATTAGAAGAAGCAATACATGGTCACTTTCAAGGTTCTCTTGAAGAACTTTGGAATTGATTGTGAGACACTGGAGACACTGGCATAGGATTGCCCAACATAGTGTGCCCCCATCAAAGAAGATGCTGTTGTTCTCTGAGCAAAGCAGAATTGCAGTAGCTCAAAAGAAATGGGAGATAGACAAATTTAGACATCTTCTCTCCAGGTGTTCATGTGGACAATTTGTGCCCGACCAGACACACTGTATCTCAACCCCAACATATTGATATCATTTTGGTCTTCTTTGAGAATGAATGACAACCAGTCTGTCAGAATTTATCTCTAAACACAAAATCTCAATATACAATTTATGAAAACGAGATTGTTTGAAGTGATCAGTGAGGACATTTCAGGTGGTGAGTAGTAAGTGGCTTAGTGCTGGGGTGACCAGCATTGAGGCATTATAAATTGCATTAAAAGATATGGCTGAGGCCAAGGAATATATGAAATGTTTAGGTTAAGAAACCCTTGATCTTTAAAAATTATTTCTAGTAGGGCATTTAACTTGCCTGCTTAACTTTATTTCAGGATGTCTGGGTCCCAGTGTTGGATAGTTTAATTTCAAAATACTCCTATTAAGCTGATATTAAATACCTTCTTTGTATTGCCTTCAGCCCTTAGAAATATACAATCAATGTGGTGATGGATTTCCTATCCTTACATTCAAGCTTATCATCTAAGCATTTTGTAAAATGAAAATTTTTTAAAACTTCCACGTGGGCTGAAAATACTTTTATTCTCCATTAGATCCTTTTCATTGGGCTTGGCTTCCTCAAGCAAAAGTTCCTTTTTCTGAAGAAACTAAAGAATTAATTCTCCCACGTATCTCTGATATGAACTTTGTGCAAGATTTATGTGAAGATCTTTATGAACTTTTTAAGGTAATTAAAATCTTATCTGAAAATTTTCGAGTGTGATTTAATGGAAAAAAAATTGGACTCACAAACAAAAGGTATGCATTCATTTCTCATCTCTCCACCCTGCTGTCTGATCCTAGATAAATTACTTAACCTGTTTAATCCTCAGTTTCCTCATTTGTAAAGTGGGAGTAATGACATTTGTCCCACTTGCATCACAAGGTTGTTCATGATCAAATGAAGTAATGTATGTAAAAGCACTTTTTAAACTGAAAACCATATATGTGTGTGTATGTGTAAAAAAACCCATTTATATATACCATATATATGCACATACACACATGCATGTATATATATATATATACACACACACATATACACATATGTGTGTACGTATGTATGTATATGCACATACTTTTTTTAAAAATTAGAATTAGTAATCATTGGAATACTAAAGTTCATTTTCATGTATGCCCAAACGCAACAAAAAAGAAATATCATGTCACAAGATACACAGAGTAATGAAGAAGAGAAATTCTATTTATAATTCAAGCTTCTCCAAATCAGGTCAATATATGGTCAAGAAATATGTTGGACATTTGTTCAGGGTTGCAAAATACTCACATGTCTTGTGTCATGTATAGCATAATATTTCCAGAAGAAAGTTGGAAGGCTATGACAAGTGCTTAGTAACATCACAAAATTACAGTATTTGCTAACTTAATAGGAGATTGGAGAGTCTACATTTCTAAATCAGCTACATGTAGACAGTTAAACATGACCTAGTTAGAACAAAAGTCAAAATTAATTTCAAACTAGAAGAGAGGATAAGGGCAGGAAGGCACACAATGGACAATTGCAGTGACTTCAGCCTAATTTATTCAGACAAGCTGTTGATGTTGAATAATGGGGAATGGATAAAGGGATAGACATCAAAGCAAACTATCACTATTTACAGAAGTATATCTAATGTAAATGAAGCAATCATCACAATGTCCAGAACAAAGGAGCCCAGAAACCTATCAGTAAGCAAACATTTGATCTCCTTGCCAGAAGGAGACATCTAGCAGCCAAGCACTGGTTTAGACTATATAAAGTCATTTGCAAAATGTTACAGTGAAAGATGATGAGTAGTATCTAGTTAAAAAAAAAGTGATAGTTGGGAAAAGGAGACTGCAGAAGATACCATGTGAAACCTAACTAAGCCCAATTGTCCTAATAGTATTTCTAAATGAAACCACAAGGACAAATGTTCGAAAAACAGAACAATCTGCCAGTGTAACTCCATTCAAATTCTTAACACTTCAGTCACCATTGTGCCAGTAAGAAAGGGGAGATGGAACATGAGAAAATGAAGTCAAGAAGAATGGCTGTGATTTAATCAGACCAATTACATACAGGGAAGATCAGTATTGGACAGCAATTTTGAAAGTATTTTGGGATTAATTTATAGAATATTTAATAGGAAATGATATTAATATAAATAACTACCAAACCATTTGCCTGTTTTTTCATCTTAAAAGCTTTATAAAAATTATATACATAAGCTTTACAGGTATCCTTGAGGAAAATGAGAAGGGAATATGTTTTCAAAATAGTTTTCTACAGCCAACCATTTCCCAGTCATGAATGACTAGAAATTTTAATGATTGCAAGATCACTTTGTGTATAATATATGTTGATTTTTTAAAAATTTTTGAGTAAAGAAAAATAGCAATCTTGAAAGAGTCCTCCAATGTCAGTATACTAAAATAATACAAGATTCTTTGATACATACAGCCAAAAATAGAGAACTTTGTTCAGTAATCCCTGAATATAAGTATAAAGTGAGTCATAAAACAGAATAGTATATGTTTGCTTCTCTCTTGAAGGCCTTTACAGAATCTAAGCAGAAAAAGAATCATACAAATGATGATGTCCTCAAAATACTCCTGTTTGCTGATACTGTGCCAATGGCATTAAAACTCAGAATGTTATATGATTTTCTCAGTGGAATTTATGACCACTTGAAAGGGATTGACCTCATAATCCATACAAGAACTACCACATGAATGAGGAATGTCTTTTGCTTAGAATATGACTTGGAACAAGATGGAAAGTTCACTTGAATTTCATCAATACATGTGTCTTAATCATTTGATAGATAATGAACTAGACCCAGAATTAAATAGGAGGAAAAAAGTAGAAAAGATTACATTTGAGATACTGCAAATGTTTTTGAGAATCTCAAGGTGGTCCCTGACGCAAAAATACATTTTTTAAAATATCATTATTCTTTTAGTGGTGCTCTGACTACAAAACATGAAACATTTATACCCACCATTCATCTATCCATGGACCTTTGGAGAATTAAAAGTGAAAGTGACCCAAGGACAATGGGATAATGAATGGTGGGTATAAAGGAGAGAAACATATCACTAATGATGGCTTATGGACAAAAAGGTCTCCATGAAAGAAGTCCTACAGAAAATGTTATCAGAAAAAAGAAGTAGGCCATTCATGTAGTGAAAGTGATAGTTGTTGAAAAAAGTTCTGAGTACTTTAAAACTTTTCTTTCACTAAAGTCCTACTCCAGAGTCTTGTTGCATGAAGACATAAGATAATAGTTTTATAGTTGTAAGTGACCATAGAGGTTATCTGGTCTGACCATCTCATTGTATAAATGAAGAAACTGAGGCACTGATGTCTTGTTTCTTAGTGACTTTACCAGTCAGTGCAAGAACTGGAAGGGTTGGACTAGCCAAGATGGCAGAGTAGGAGGAAGCAGTATATAACTCGGCTTTCTTCCTGTTCATCCGCCACAACTACTCCAGCAATGATCTAAGAATTTCAGACTGAGTAGTGATTGAGAAACTGTAGTGGGGTATCTTTCTACCCTAAGATCACATGAACTTGAGAATCTTTCTAGTAAGTTCATGGTAAAGTAACACAGAAATGCTAGCTCTAGCAAGAAAATTCTCTCTTCCTCTCCCTCCCACAAAAAAAAAAAATTGAGGGAGCCAGTATAGGCAAAATTATCACTTATTGTCAAGGAGATGATAGTGTACTTGGAAAACCCCAGAGGCACAATTAAAAATTAATTGAAACCAACAAAGTTGTAGGATATAACGATTTCACATAAATCATTAGCATTTCTGTTTAGTAATAATCCTATTAGGAAGAGAAATTCCATTTAAAATAACCCCAAAATTATATAATATTTTGGATTTTACCTACCAACATACACATAGGTACTATATTAATACCACTATAAAACATTGTTTATGGAAATAGAGGCCTACATAATGGCAAAATGTTAATTGTTCATGGCTAGGCCAAGCTGATGTAATAAAAATAATATTTAAATTGATTTGATTTAATGCTAACACATTCAAACTACCAAAGGATTACTTTATTAAATAAGAAAAAAAAATTGATTTGGGGGAACAAAAGATTAAAAATTTCAAGAGAAATGATGGGGGAAAAGTAAGAAGGAAGTGGCCTAGCCTTCCAGATCTCAGAACTATATTACAAAAGCAACAGCAATCAAAACCATTTTGTTCTGGTTAAAAAATAAAATAGTTGGTTTGTAGAACAGGTTCGATACTAAATGTAGAGTAGTAAAGAATGTAGTAGCCTAGTGTTCACTAAACCGAAAGATGCTAGTTGCTGGTGTCAGGATTCATTCTTTGACAGAAATTTCTGGGAAAACTAGATAGCTGTCTGGCAGAAATCAGGTTTAGACCAGCACCCCACAACATATACTAAGATAAGCTCCAAATGGATGTATGTCCTCGATTTAAAAAGCCGTGTCATGAACAAATTAGAAGAAAAAGAAGAAAATTACTTTTAGGATAAAAGAGTTCATGAACAAAAAGGGTTAGAGATCATAGAAGATAAAATGGATTATGTTTGTTATATAAAATTAAAGTTTTTGTTTATACAAAATCCAGGGTATATAAGATTAAAAGGTAAATAGTTAATTAGAAAAATATCTTTACAGCAAGTTTTTCTGACAGAGATCTCATTTCCAAGATATTTAAGGTACCAATTCAAATCTATAAGAATCAGAGACCTTCCCCAATTGATAAATAGTGAAAGATTGTGAACAAAAAGTTCTCAAAGCATGAATTCCAAGCTGTTTATGTACATGTGAAAAAAATACACCAAATCACTAAAAATTAGAGAAATGAAAAATTAAAGCAAATCCAAATCAACCTCACACTCATCAGATTGGCAAAATTGACCCAAAAAAGGAACATGACAAATGTTAGAGAAGCTGTGATTAAATAGGCACATTGACATATTTGGTACAACCATGAATTAGTCCAGCTGTTCTGGAAAGCAATTTGGAATTATGCTCAAAAAGATACTAAGTTGTGCATACCTTTTAACCTAGAAACTATTACTCATATATTCCAAGGAGATCAAAGAAGAAAGAAAAGCACCTGTATATACACAAATATATACCAGCTTTTTTTTTTGTTGTGTTGTTGTTCAGTAGTTTTTCAGTTTTGTGTCCAGGTCCTCATGACTCCATTTTTGGGGTTTTCTTGGCAGAAATCCTAGAGTGCTTTTCCATTTCCTTTTCCATCTCATTTTACAGATGAGGAACTAAAGCAAACAGGGTTAAGTGACTTGCCCAGGATCACAGAACTAGTAAGTGTCTGAGGCCAAATTTGAACTCAGGAAGATGTGTCTTCCTGATTCCAGACCTGGCACTTTACCCACTGTGCTACCTAGCTGCCCCATTGTAGCCTGATATAAATGCTTGGTAATTGAAAAAAATTATTTAAAAAGTGTTTTAATACTGAAAGACTTTTGAATATGTACTCTGCAAAGAACAATTTGAGTTTGTTGTCTAAGAATCAATCTACTTAAGTTTAGCGAGGCCAGTCATGAGAAAATTAGTCACCAGGTGATAAGTTGCTTTTGTCACAGAAACTCATGAAGACAATTTACTAAGGTACAGATGTCTTATAACCTACGTAACACAAAAACCATGTATCTTTGGACAGAGAAATTTTAAATTTCTAATAGTTTTATATCCTAAAATCTTGGTATTTTCTTCTCCACTAGTCTTATAATCCTAGCCAAATAAAAAATATAGTTACTAGTTAAATATCATGAATATGCTTAGAAATAATAGAAATAAAACTACACTACTCTTATAAATAAGCTGTTGTCTTCTAACATTAAAATTCAGCAAAGTTAACTTTGCATAAGCATGAATGTTACTTATCAGTGAATTTCTATTTGAATTAAACTCATGCTGCTTTTTGTGTTGAATTATCAAATCTGATCATTTAAATTTGTGAACTTGAATTAAATTGTAGAATTCATTATTACTCATGCTAAAGCAAATAATTTGTAGACAAGATCTTGCTGTTAAGTAACAATATTTTTTTCTTTCTCTCATAAAGACTGATAAAGGATTTGACAAGGCCACTTTTGAAAATCAGATGTCTGTAATGAGAGGCCAGGTAGGTCATCTTTTTTGCAATATTTCAATTTTTGTATAGAAAAGAAACTATGACAAATTAATTTTATCCAGTTTCAGTTGGGCCCTCACTATTGCATGCCAATCCTTTTACTTTTCCCTAACTGGGAGGGGGAAAAGGAAGATGGGTCTTCATTTATATAGTTATTTATTTGCATTTTTATTGATATCTTTTTGATTTTATATTATCCAAATTTCCCTGTTTCCCTTACTGTCCCCCTTCTAAGAGAGCAATCACTTAAAACAAGAATTTTTTAAAGAAAAAGAAGAGGGAAAAAAATCATCAAAATCAATAAATTAACATCTGACAAAATGTATGTAACAATTTGCTCTCTCCCTGCTGCCTTTAAACACGTCGACATTTCCCCAATCCAAAAAATCTTCGCTTGACCTTATCCTTTCAAGCTCTCATCAGGGTTCTTTCACAGTCAAAGTCCTATGAAAAAGCTATCTATACTTACTTCCTCCACTTTCTCACTTCCTATTCCTCAACCCCTTGCAGTCTGGCTTCTCACCCTTCTGCACAACTGAAACTGTCTTCTCCAAGGTCCAGTAATATCTTTTTCTTAATAGTGCCAATTTTAAGTAGATTTCTGTTCTTCAGGACAAGAATTGCATTTCCACGTATTTACAGTGCTGATAAAGTGCAATATTATTCACTTCTCTCCTTCTGCACACATTCAGGTAATTAGAATGCCTAGAATTTACACAAAAGCTCAAGTGCAATCTTTAAACTGTCTCTTCACCAAGCCTTTGCTACAAATTTGGCTCATTTGGTTTTTGAAAAGCTGTGTAAAATGTTCTTTTTTAGTGCATTTAGTCAGTATCTTTAGTAGTAGATCCAGTTACTCCATCACCAAGGCATCTACCACACCTACCTATAGTCATGACTACCATTCTCTGATTAGCCTTAAGGACGATAGGGTTGACCCTGACTCTGAGCAAGTCAAAACCTCTTTTGGCCTCAATTTTTTTCTTTTATAAAATAAGGGATGTAATGGTACCTACTTTATATGAATCAAATGAGATAGCATATGTAAAGTACTTCATAAACCTTTAAACATTATATAAATGTCAATTATTATATACTATCTATGTAACCTTGAGGAAAACTTTATGATTTTGGACTTTAGTTTCCTCATTGACAAGGTGAGGCAGTTCACTTCATCATGATCTCTTATTCAAGCTGGATCTTCATTGGTTCCAGATCAGTACTTTGGTTGAATGACTCTTCAGGCAGCAGCACTAACATTTCTCTAAACTTCTGCTCTTCAAGATTTGGATCTCTAAGACCTCTCCAGCTCTGATTCCTGTGCTTGTGTTATTCGTGTATGTGTATGTATATATTTCAGTCATTTTTTCAGTCATGTTTCAACCCTTCATGACCCCATTAGGGATTTTCTTAGCAAAGATACTGGAGTAGTTTGCCATTTTCTTCTCCAGCTCATTTTACAGATGGGGAAATGGAAGCAGATGGGGTTAAGTGACTTGCCCAGGATCACACAACTAGCAAGTATCTAAAGCCAGATTTGAACTCAGGAAGATGAGTCTTACTGACTCCACGCCTGAAAGTCTATTCACTGTACATACATATGTTTGCATATGTGTGTATTTTCCATAAATGACAGAAGCATAGGAGATAAATAATTCATGTTATATATAGTTATACATGCACATGCATGTCTCTATGTATTTGTAAATAGATATCAATATTGATATTAATACAGTATTTGCTGAACCTGGAAAAGATTCACAAATGAAGCAATATATTACCAAGAGAAGAAGTGTTATTTTGCCTTCTTCCTTGGTGTTCACCACTACTGTAAGAACACTTTTTTTATTCAGTTAAATGGCCTAAGCAGAGATGAATTTATTGACTGTATGTCAAAAATGTAAAATAAAAAAATTTGTTTTCAAATATTAAAAAAAAAATGATAGGATTCTAGAACTTTTCCAGTTTTTTCTACTGGTGCTCATGTTATTCCTTCTTAACAGTCTGGTTCTTATCAAATCAATTTCTTTCATTTTATTACATTTGTCAAGGATTGTGAATTGTCTTTATTATCATTTTGGCCTTGAAGCTTCTCATCCTTCACTGCAGCCTTCTTATGAAAGCATAATATTCAGTTGAGTTCTTGGAAGATATCTTCTCTCTCTGCTTTTCACCTTCAGCCTTGTTCATAGTCCAGTTTCCTGGACTGTGCTTTAATGTAGTCTTTCCTTGAGTGGCCTTTTGTCATTGCTGATGGTGATCTTATTCTCCTTGATTGTGCTTTTATCCACAGCAGATACTTTGAGAATGTCAGAGCTCACTTTAATCTAAGGAACACTCCAGAGTACGGGAGGATTCCTATGAACTCAGATTTGCCAAATAGTTTATCTTCTGTTGTTTTTATAAACCTGGATAAGCACAGGAAGCTAGTTGTTTGAGTAAATGATGAAGGACTATGGTGCTTTGTGGGGAGTAGTGATAGTAAGTTTGATAAGAATTTTCATAATTCTGCCAGCAGTTTCCATATTAGAGAAAAGAAGCATGACATCCACAGCAGCAAGTCCTGTACTTTGTCAGATTTATCCTCAGACAGGATGGTGGCCTGTATAGCAGTATAAGCAATAATAGCCTCAATAGGATCATTACTGTTGATTAGCTCTTTACCCTTAAAGAAGTCTTACAGAAGTTTTTGGAATTTGAGGATAAGCATAGAATTATGGATCTGTAACTAGGTTTTGGCATCCTTTAGAGCCTTTTCTTTTGGTTCCTTTGCACTACAAAGAAGGTCCACGTTTAGTTCTTAGGTGCAAGTGATAGAGGTATAGAAATTAGTACCTTCATAAAAGGAGTTGTTTACATACAGTCGGCACTTTGCATGTTCACAAGTGACACTGAGGAGGTGGGCAGCCTTCTTATTCTCAGTCATGTCCTTGTGCTTGTACTCAACGATAAATAGTTGACCACAAAGTTGTCAAAGTCTTCCCCAACCAGAGTATCTCCTGTTGTGGACTTGACTTGAAAAATGCCATCTTCGGTGTTGAGGATGGAGATTTGAAAGTTCTGCCTCTGAGGTCAAGATCACTATAATTTTCTTGTGACCAACCTTCTTGTCTAAGCCATAATCACTAATGCTAATGTTTGGCTTATCGATGGTTCAGACCACATTGAGACCTTCAGTGATCTGAGCTCTGCAAGTGCCTGACCTGGGTTTCAATCTGAGCAGCTGTAAAAGGCTGTTTGACTCGGTCCCTGTCAGCTAGTGTGGAAAGCTCTTTTGGTTCAGCTTGACAGAATTATAGGATCCCCTTGGTCTGGAATTCTTGCCCTAGTCATTCTTCCACAGGCAGGACTAGATGCTTGAACCCCACTCTGCTTTTGAGGTCTGAACCACATCACTGCTGCTTGCTTCTGAACTTCTTCTTGTTTTGGTCCACTACCTAGGGCCTCCCTGCCAGAGAGTGCTGCTACAGGTACAGGTCCCCTTGTTAGTCCACTCTGGATTTTTGGCCTAGAAATGTGTAGTGTGCTACAAAACTGCCAGTTGCCACTTTTCCCTATTGCAATACCCAAGTAGGGGTCTGCAGGTTCCTTGCAATGAATCTGGAATCTTCTCTTGCCTTCTCTTTTTCCATGCGTGACATGCTTCTGGTCGAATCCTAAACACTTTCTCCCTATGCTGACCTGCTAAACAAATGAATTACTGAGTTTTTCGGGATTTTTGGTGTTGTACATTTTCTGGGTCTCTTTAGAGGAGTTTTGGGAGAGGAGCTTGGCTGTACTGCTTTCTTTGCTGTGCTATCTTAGCTCCACCTCCTCAAATAAAATATTGTATGTGAGGAATATGAAGTGGGTCAGTTTGGCTGGAATGTAGAGTTCATTATGGGAATTAACGTGTAATAAACATGGAAAGATGAAGTTGGTGCCAGATTACAAAGGGCTTTAAATACCAAACAGAAGAGTTTGTATCTTAGAGAAAATAGAGAACCACAGAAACTTTTTTAAGTGACACAGTCAGGATTTCTGGGTCACATGACCAACAGGCTGGAGGACTGGACATTTCTCTGATCCTAATGACGTCTCAAAACTCTCCAGAACAGAAATTGTGTTCCACAGATAAAGCAGTTTCACTCATCTTTATAGTGTAGGACACCAAGAACCCTAAAAAAGTTAAACCCTCATGAACCAATGCTTAACTCACTCAGCACCTCCTCCCCCATAACCTACCATGCTCTCAGCAACACAGTTATACCAGCCACTCTGCCCATAGGCTTGCATTAGAATGCATCTCCACACTCTGAAACCTCTTTCCCATACTTCTAGTGCCACAGAGATCCAAGCTCCAAACTTAAGAAATTTGCTGAGGCTTTGATAGCCAATGCTTTGTTAGGGTTCTTTGCTGCAACAGAGCTTTTTAGGAGAGTGAAAGAAGAGAAGGAACAGGGAAGGACATCTGTCTCAGCTTGTAATAGAGCTCAACCCCACCCCTTCATGTGCTGTATGTACACACACACCCTTGGAAGTCCAAAAGTCCAAATGGTTGAAACCTTCAAAGGAAGCCATAGCACCAGCATGGAAGTGTTCTGTATTGCTGGGCCAGAGAACTGAGAAACAGAGAACAGAACAGGGCACCATGTGTGAGGGACTGTGTTGCACTCTCTTAAGCCTGAGGGAAAGAGCCCAGCAGCACCCAACTAGGACCAGTTGTATCTCCCCAGAAAGTCAGTTGGGGAAAAGACCCAGGCTAGTCAATTATTTATTGCCTAGCATAGGAGAAGACAGACCCTTTGAGATCTAGCCCCTAAGGAAACTACTGTCAGTGGGGAAGGAGTCAGAAGTGAGCAGTAGGAGAAAATAAAAGGGGAAAAAAAAGACTGAAAGTTTCAGGAGGAAGGAAACGGAAAGACTTTGAGCACATAAACCAATAGAGAAGACATTTAACAGGAGAAGGAAATATGACCTCCAGATGCAGTAAATAAGTTTAGGCATCACTG